CATTTGGTATTCCTGTTTATGGACTTTCTCACCTCTCCCATGGTACACCTTAAATGCCAGTGCTAAGACTTCTGCCTGTGGGCCCAGGGTCCCTCTCTCCAGATGCTTAAGTTTGGCCCTAATGTTGGGGAAGCTGGGTCATATGGAGCTGTCTGCCCTCTGGGCTCTCAGGGTCTAGATTAGTGTACTGTAAGAGGGCCTTTGTAAGTCATTCTAGAAATTGAGATGGATTCTCTTGTCTGTCCTGAACTGTCTTGAAGCTTTTCATAGTTTACTGGTTTGAGGGCAGCCTTACGAAGACCTGCTAGGAGATAGGTCATAAACTGATCCCATAAGTGAGATTGATAAGTCATATGGCAGTTCTATGTTTAAGCTTTGTGAGGAAACTCCATACTCTCGTCCATATTCTTACACATTTTACAATACTAATCAATGGTCCATTTTCTCTAAGACCTTGCCAACACATTGTCTTCTGTTTGGTTGGTTGGTTTTGGTAGTGGCTAACCTAATGGATGTAAGGTGATTATCTCCAATAATACAAACCTTTTTGATAGTTTTCACCTCCAAAGGATAATCTCAATTATTAAACATGAGCAGTAGGATAATATCCCACACTCTCCAAAATATACCCTCCTTCTAATTATCAGAAACTTAGGATTTATGACTTTCTTTACTTACTATAAAAACTTCATGAAACTATTGGGTTTTCTGTTTGTTTGTTTGTTTGTTTTGTTTGTTTGTTTGTTTGTTTGTTTGTTTTTATAATGCTTGGAGTCAAATTTATGGCCTATGTATACAAGGAAAGTCTATCAATGACTGGTGTTCTCAGCCTAAGTGTATATTACATGGGTATGTTAACCATATTAGGATAGTTACATTATTAAGGTTGCAGATGGTATTAAACTTGGTGGCAGGTTTCTTTCTCATTGTTCTAGGATCTCATTATGGCATCTTCATACCTATCCTGACTGGTTTTATGTCAATTTGACTCAAGCTAGAGTCATCAGAGAGGAGGGAGCTTCATTTGAAAAATGCCTCCAAAGAAGCTGGCTGTAGGCAATCTTAGGGATTGATGTGAGAGGGCCCAGCCCATTATGGATAGTACAATCCCTGGGCTGGAGATCCTGGGTTTGTGAGACCAAAATGAGCCATCTTAGAAATAAGACCAACATGCTTTCACCCAAAAACTAAGGCCTAAGATTTCTCCTTCTAGGAATAGGCCATTAGTTACT